GTAAGGTGTAAGTTGCACACTTAAAAAAAGTCCTAAGTTAAGTTAAAATGAGACTTTTTAGCTAAAATAGTCACAAAAAGACAAATAGATTTTTTGAGAAGATGGTTAAAAGTCTACTTTTTTACTTTTTTAACTTTTTGGCTTTTTTTTTTTGGTGGGAGGGAAAGTGGCTTTTAACCCACTTTTCAAAATGAGCCAAAATAGACTTTTTAACTCAATAAGACAAAAAATCATATCCAAATCATAATCATTTCATTTTTTTTTCCTCACAAAAGTCAAAAAAATCCAAAAGTCTATTCCAAACGAGATTTTTTAACCTCAGGCTAAAATAACTAGAAAACCAAAAAGTCAATCCACATACCAAACGAACCCTAAGTGTTTATAACAATTTTTTATTTTTTAAACTTTTTTTTTAATTTAAAAAGATAATGTATTTAAAAAGTTACTAAAATAATTAATGTTTTATCAGTGAAAAAGTGAAATAGTTTGACATATGCCTATTTTAGTTTAAAAGTCAAAAAGTTATTAAAAAAATAAAAAATATTATAAACTATATAAAAAAGTCAAAGATTTTTTTTTCTCTTTACTTTTTACACATCTTTTCGTTAAAAATTAAAATCATTTCAAACATATTAATTTTTTTTATTTCATATTTTAATTAAAAAAATAAAAATTACTAAAATAACTTTATTGTCAAACGAGACCTAACTAATTTTTTTTAAACTAATAAATACAAACAAGTTTTTGATTTCTTAATATTTTTTATTAAAAAATTGACTTATTTAGGCACACCCCTATCTGTCTTCGCTTTTCTAATGATAAGATCACATTGAAAATAATTTTAATTCCAAAAAAAGAAATTGGAAGTCACACCACTTGCTACAAAAAGAAAAGTGCACATGCTCATATTAAAACATGAGTGGTGATTCATCCCACTAATTTTTGGACCACTAATAACTCTAATGAGCTTAAAAAAAAAACAAAAAAACAAACTCAAGCCAAAACATCACATCATTTTGGTGGGGGCCACTGTGCCACATCATTAATGATGCTCTAGAGCTCCCAATTTAGTGCTCTAAAACATTATTCTTAAAACATGGATAACTATTGATAGCTCTAATTTGTAGTTCTAAATAGGGTTCTATTAATGTGGTAACGAGTGAAATTTATATGTGATGTGATGTATGTATTTGTATTTTTTTTTTTTCTCTTTTCACATTATTAAAATTCTCTTTAAAATTTTAAAATTAAAACTCTCCATCATAAAACATTTACATTAAACATTCTCTAAAACTAGCATCTACACATTATTTTATTTGTTCTATATATTGTTACCATTTTAAGAACATCATATTATATGATTAAATTGGGTAGTGAGTTAGGCAGTTGCATCCAAATACTTATCTCAATTCCACTAAGTTTTCTTTACGAAAAATTACAATTCAATAATATTTTTAAAAAATAATAAGAAATTTATATAAAAATAATAATTTTAATTTTAATATTTACAAAATTTACCACTCTGATCTGATTTTTTTCAAAAAAACAATTCAAAATAGACTCAAAGAACAATATATATTTAAAAGTTTTGACAAGAGAGGGTTAGGTAATGGTAGAGGACGATTGTGGCTACTACGAAAAAGAAGGAAACATAATCTCATTATAAAAGAGATAGCGTAAAGTTTAAATATTGATAGTAGTAGAATCGTAAATCCATCCCACATCGTTCATAATCTAATTAGAAAATAGATAGTGTAAAATTTAAATATCGGTAGTAATATAATCTGCACCACAATCTCTAGACCAATGATGTATAAATTAATTATACTAAGATTTTTTTAATTATTAAAAAAAATCATTTAATCGTATCATTTATGAACTTATACATATTGACCTACTCAAATATGAAAATCGTGTAAATACATTATGTTTGGAGAAATCTCAATGGGTCTATAAGAAGTGAAAGTGATATATTTTAATAATTGAGGGAGTCAAATATATTGGTTCGTAGATGAAGAGGATAAAGCGATATTTACTAGCAATTAAGGAGGTTTCGGCGTAAATAATCCTTCTTTTTTTTTTAATAAATTACATTAAGCTCTTTTAAGATTTGAAAAAATGAGTTCGATATATTTATACTAACCTTTCTTAAAATGTTAATTCATTTTTTTTCAATTATTTATTAATCATTCAAATATATATAAATATACATATATATATATATATTAAATTTCATCTATTTTACACCTAAATGATAGCATTCTTGTTTGTTCCTGTACATCACATGTATTCCGATCATTTTAGTCTTATTAAAAAAGAAATTAGTGTAATTATATCAAATTTTCGAAACTTATTATATTTTTTATATACCTCAAGGGTGGCTAGTGCAATTTGCTCAAATTTATATACGGAATGATATACCTTGTTGTGATACTATTAAACCACTTAATTTACTATCTTAACTCATAATTTGAAAAATATCACTACTACTTATATCATTTTAAATAGACTTGTGGGGTCTAACATGAATCTTATTTCAATAATTTGAACTGTTATAAAACTATTTGTGTATACCATTCATAAAATAAAAATAAAAAAATTAACTCGATTTGATAAACATAATCTATTCAATTCATTGTGCTTGTTTTATAATAATAATAATAATAATAATAATAATAATAATAAATAGACAATCAATATATATTTTTAAATAAATTATCTTTTAAAAAATGCAATAAATTAAATATATTATAATTATCAAATCGACCTAATTTTTTTTAATGAATGATAAAATTTATGATCTTACAAAAATAAATGATTTAAATACTGATAGTAGCATCTCTGAGTTGGCTAGACCACCAAGAACAAAAGCTCCTTCATATGTTAGACAACCTAACTCGAGCACAGGGTGGATCACGTCAATGAAAAGTCCACTCTATGTGGGAATGTAGTATCGCAAATGCGGGATACAATCCCACATAGTGTGAAACAATAACCGAAAGTATCAAATATCACTCAACTAACCACAGAACAGCCAAACACAACTATAAATAAACACAAACTCATCAAACTAGACACACAAGCATTAGTATTCAAACTCATTGTCCTATTAAGCATTATTGTACAAACACTGATTTAGGAAGAGTCTCCAATTGGCACCCTAGCCAAAATGTTCTTCATTTGTACACGGTAACGCAGGGAACAGTCGACAAGTGAGAAGATGCTTTCCGTTTTGTGGCAATTTTTTTTCCCACACCAATATTATATCAGGTTATAATTATGTGACAACACTATAATTTTTTAGATTATTAGTTTTATTTAAATTACATTATCTTTTTACTTTTTTGAATGTCTTTTTATAATAAGTAAAAAAAGTCAACTTATAAACCAAAATAAAACGATAAGGATTCTTTCCTATCCATAATCTGGACTAGAGTGCATTGTTTGGGCTTGTAAGGTTTATTACAAGTCTTGTTTTAATAATCCAAATCATTCATTTTGTTGAGCACTTTGTGTATTTCACCACAAAAAAAATTAGATCGATTCAATAATTGTAACTTACCAATTTATCGTGTTTATCACTAAAAAAATAGTTAGCAATTTTTTTTTTTAAAAAAAAAATCATTTATTTTTTGGTGACAAACACGATAAATTGAATATGTTACAATTATTAGATCGATTTAATTTTTTTTTTTATGAATGAAATATACGAAATATCTGACAAAATGAATACTTCAAATCATTGAAACGAGGCTCCTGATGTACTCACAAACAGGGGCGGAGGCAAGGGAGTCAGGAGGTTTTGGCCCCTCCAACTTTCTGCAAAATCTCCATTTTATATGTATGCTTTTGCTAATTTTTTTTTAATATATTACATAATGGCCTCCTCAACTAAAAAAAAAAAAAAAAAAAAATTCAATCCAACACTCAAAAAAAATTGTAAAGACGCTAATGTAGTAGAGTTACCTTTCAAAAAAATATTTACAATAATGTTATGGTGATCATATTTTCTTATTATGTATTATTTATTCTTTTATGTGTTAGTACTATATTAATATCAAATATAAGTGGTTAAGGTAATAACATTATTGTAGTTCAAAAAACAAATTCTAACATTATTGAAAAATTTTAATCCGGTTCATGTTAAAGACAATAGTTTACTTGTGAGTTTCTATAATTTATTTAATGGAATCACTTGTAAAACTTTATGTATTTAAGGATATTTTATAATAGATTAATTATATTAACATTACCTTAACCTTTATCTATAAATTCTTACATTTTGACCTCCTTAACCATAAAATTCATACAAATAATATTTAATTAATACTAATGTCTTATAATTTTATTGGTCAATTTGGCCTCGATTGAGTAATATTTAATAATGATTTACTCAAATAAAACTTCAAAGGATCCATTGATGGCTCGGTAGATTTATTCTATACCTTCTCTTTGGCGAAATGACTCCCTTACCAAATAAATCCTGGCTCCATCCCTGCTCACAGATTCATATAATGTCTTCCAATTCAGATTGTGGACTATAGGTAATTTGCCTCCAATCACAAAATATCATAACCCATGGATAAGATAGGATTTGAATTCTCTCAAGTTGGCTGTCCAACTTGAGAGAGTTCTTGGGCATGACGGGTTTATTTCAGAATCGAAGTGTTTCAAATTATTCAAGATTTTCAAAAATTGATAATTATATATTTGAATTATATTTATTTTTAAAAAATAAATGACAAATATAATTTAAAAAATAGTCACTCATTTTTTATATTATAAATATAATTGAAACATGTAAATATTATTGATATATCCAATCGTTTTAATTTATTATATAAATATTTTACTCGATAAATTTAAAAAAATAAATTATCCATCCTCAAACGGACTCACCAAATTCAACCGCACTGTGAAATTGAGATGGTCAAATACACAAGTGAAAGTGATACATCTTTTCTAGTGAGCGTATCATAGACATGGATTAGTGTGGGGAGGTGTGGGAGTGGTGGGGCCTACTACAGCCCACCTAACAACCCTTTCTCAGCCATTGAAGCATGCATAGTATAATATATATAGCTCTCTGTATTTAAGACAACCATATAATAGAACATCAATCACGGTTTTTTGTGCTTATCTGTCTAGGCTTTACTAGTTGAAAAATGTCGCAGATTCGACAGTTAGCAGATACCAACATTGGATCGCAACGAACTAGCAACATCAGCATTTCAGATGATGTGTGGTCAACTATGTCAACTATGCTTTCTGCTTTACAAAAGTCGGCTACTCCTCCTCCTCCTCTTCTTCTTCTTCTTCTTCTTCATTTTGTAGTGAAATAATATGAAATCTGAACTGGGTTTTGCTTATTTAGTCAATTTAGTTGTTGAATGTGCTATGACCGTGTTCTTATTTTGTTATTCTATTTGGGTTTTATTGAATATTTTCATTTTCTTCTTCTTCTTCTTCTTCTTCTTCTTCATTTTTGTAGTGAAATAAGATGAAATCTGAACTGGATTTTGCTAATTTAGTCAATACAGTTGTTGAATGCACTATGACCATGTACTTTTGTTGTGATTAATTTAGTCAATACAGTTGTTGAATGCACTATGACCATGTACTTTTGTTGTGATTCTATTTGGGTTTTCTTGATTTTTTTTTTCATTTTGTTCTTTCTTCAGGGGGGACCTGGACACGGTCAAGCATGTCATAGAGTCAATTGTTGAGCCTTTGATTCGCCGAATTGTAAGTGCATGACAAACTAGTCGGTACAATACATATAAGTGTATAACATGTTTGTAGAAATATGTGAATGGCTGTTTGTGTGTATGCATGTGTGAACGATAGCAGAGCCAAAATTCTCTTGGGGATGAAGGGAGATCTATATAGTTTTTTATGTTCATTCGATGACAAGTTGAAAGATTGATATGATAAACAATTCAAGTTGGACTTAGATCTAATAATATATGAACCCTTGATTTGAGCCAAAGGAAATTAAGAAAAGAGGAAGAAACATAAATTCTAGTGCATCTGTGTATTTATGCATTCTTGCCAACAAAAATTATAGTCAGTAAAAAATTGAGCTTAACCCTGTATTTCATTGTCCTCCTTGAGTTATGTTGTCCATCATACTATTGATAAGAAATGCTGTTGTTAGTTGAATAAGTCCTTACATGGTAGGTAGTCATTAATTTGGCGAAATATTTTATTTTTTTAAAACATTAAACATAGTTTGCCAATGAGGGTGATTCTCCGGTCCATAGTGCTTGAAGCTGCTTTTTGCAGGAGTTGAAAATAAGTTTGCTCTCTTAGTGGATCAGCATTCTATGGGTGGATCTGCTATCAATTGTTTTGGGTTGCTCTAGAGTGTTCGAAGGCACTCTTTATACCAGTGTGCTTTTATCGATTTCAAATCTTGAAGTTACTTGACTGAGAATTCACATGGTCTACTTTACAGAACATATCCCAAATTGAGTATCTGTTGTTGTGTTTGATACTGCAATTTGCATGTACTAATTTGAAAGCATGAAGGTGGTTGAATGAAAATTTGAGAAAGGGCTTACTTTGTAGATGGACCCAAGTTCCTTACAAGCGATATTAACTTATTTGTTTTGTGTCAGCATGCACTTGTAATATTCACATCAGGCATATACTAGCTTCATGTATTGTTTAGCATTTGTGTTCTATTTATGCTAAACTAATGTTTATCTCTCCAAACTTGAAGTGAAACTTGAATAGAATATGAATATTTGGCAATATTTATGTTTACAATTTTTTGTTTATATTTACAAAAATCTTGAAACTACAAACAAAAACAATTTATTTTTGTTTTCCAAAACTTGTAAACAGTTTACAAAAATTAATAATTTTTTGTAACCACAATAAAGTTGGTCTCACTACTTTAGGAAGAAGAAAAAAAAAGATTCATTCCTTCCTTCTTCTCCCACCCCCTCCTGCCATCACCCACCACTCATTACCACTACCGGCCACTGTCAACAGTGACCACCTTCGGCCATCATCTCCCACCTTCGGCAACCAACTCTCCAGAAACCACCTTCAACCACTACCTCCAGCGGCCGAGCACCATTTCCAACTGTTGGAAACCATCTTCGGCCACCACCTCCCGTTGCGGGCAACCGCCGCACCTCTAGTGCCTAACAACAACCTTTGATCACCAACAAACAACCACATCTGGCCACTACTTGCAATCGTCGACAACCACCTTTTCCACTACCTCCCTCCGGCCACTCATTTCACTTGTTTTCAAAACAAAATTTTAAAACACGTTTACCAAATATGTTTTTTATTTTTATTTTTATTTTTTTTTACCAAAAATGAATAATAAATTGTAAACGTCACCAAATAATAACTTTCCATTTGTGTTCTATTTATGCTAAACTAATGTCACTGTCTCCAACCTTGAAGCGAAACTTGAATATTTAACCTCATTGTTATTGTTTTACTTGCGTGTTTGCATGCCCCATGAATTTGAAAATATTCCGTTGTTATGCATAGCATTTGATGGATGATGGTTGCTCTGTACAATTGTTAGCTCCAAAAAATGACCACATTTTAATTTTTTTTCTCTCTTTCTCTCTCTCTCTCTCTCAGATAATTATTGATCAAGCCTCATCTGAATTATCAGAAATCTGACTGCGTTAATCTGTTTTCCAGTCTTCACAAAACCAACTACTTCGGGTCCTAAAATAATCTTTCAGCATATAACTGTAGTTGATTTCTCATTTCTGGTTTTCTTGGTACTTTTAATTATGCCGAGGACCAGTGACTGACTTATAGATCCTTGTTTTGAGGTATAAATACTCCAATTGTAAATCGATGCAACGAGTAAATTCAATACAATGTTGAGAACCCACACCATTTTATGTTTTTTGGTTCTACAAATTGTCACTAATATATCATTGATGCTCTATATTTGTTACAGGTAAAAGAGGAACTTGAACCCGTGAAGGAAAGGATTTTAACTAGCCAGTGACTGACTTATAGATCCTTGTTTTGAGGTATAAATACTCCAATTGTAAATCGATGCAACGAGTAAATTCAATACAATGTTGAGAACCCACACCATTTTATGTTTTTTGGTTCTACAAATTGTCAATCTTAACTCATTATATAGATTACTAATATATCATTGATGCTCTATATTTGTTACAGGTAAAAGAGGAACTTGAATCCGTGAAGGAAAGGATTTTAACTAGCATGAACCAGTAAGTGATAATATTAAGGATCAAATATGGTTTTGCTGAATTTTTCGTGAATTGTTTCCATTTTTGTGCGAAAACAGTTTTCGAAACTTTTTTATGTTTCCTAAAAAGTGGGTTGTTTTTGGAATTTTCTGGAAACAGTTTTCAAAAACAGTTCATTAAGCCTGTTTGGTAATGTTTTTGTTTTTAGTTTTCTATTTATGTTTACAAAAATTTTAAAAACTGTCATATAAACTTGTTTGGTAACTTTTGGGTTTATAAATAAGTTCTCTCAAATTAAAAATTAGGGTGAAAACCATAAACTTGAAAAAGGTGTTTACATTTGTTTATAAACTGATAAACGCAGAAAGGAAGCGGAAGGAAACACAGAAGAAAAGCAACAGGAAGGGATGGGTGCGAGGTCAGGAGTTCAAAACCCAGGAGCTTCATTCTGTAGCAAAAGCAGAAGGAAACAAGCTTTTCTTTTTTGTTCAAACCAAACATGTTCACAGTTTTGTTTTTCTAAAAATAAATAAAAACTAAACAAAAATTAGTTTACAATTTTTTTATAAACATAAACGAAAAACCTAAATGTTTCCAAACGCCACCTAAACAAGTTTTCTGTGTTTTTGGAAAAATGAAAAGAGAAAAGGGAAAATGAAAATACAACCAAACAGTTAAGATTTTGTTCTCTTCTCTTTTCTCCTAGTGAGAAGGTGGTCAAGTTTACCCACCCTTCTCTCTCAAAAATAGTGAACACCCTTGTCAATGACTAATGTATAACTGACGTATCCTTGCAATTCTTATTCAGGAACTCTGGGAATAAGATACATTGTTCTGAGCCGAGAAGAATGCAGCTACGGTTCCTAGACAAACTCCCTTTGCTGTTAGAGACAGGATGCCACATTAAAGGAGAAAACTGTAGCTCTGCCAGAATAGGTTTATTTGATGATAAAGAGCAAGTTGTCACATCTGGGCCTGAAGCCTCTGCAAAAGTAGAAATTTTTGTTCTTCGGGTAGATCCTGATAAGGATGAAGAACATGAATGGACACAGGAAGAATTCAACTTAAAGATTGTTAAAGCTATTCTAACTGGAAATGCATTTCTCAATCTGAAAGAAGGCATTGGCTCATTAGATGAGATTTCTTTTGCGCATAGAGCAATTTGGATGAAAAAAAGTGAGTTTAGGCTGGGAGCACGAATTGTGGATAATTTTAATGGGACTAAAGTAAGAGTAGCAAAGTCCGAGTGCTTCTTCTTAAAGGATTTCCGCAACAAACGTAAGTGGTTCTGATTTGTTACATTTTTCTACTATCCATTATTCGAAATCTTGTATTTTAGAAAAGAACATGGGCAAGAATTGGTTTGTGATGATGCTAAAAAAGTTTGTGATGTCTATACATTAGACCAAACCAACCCAATTCTATATTTCCTAGTCTTACCACACATTCATTTAAGAATTATCATCCCAGTCATACTCATTTTATGAACGTGTTATTTCTTAGTTGCTTAACATTTTGTTCTGTAAAGCATTTTGTTCTTACAGCTGTTATATAAAAGTTTCCTTTTAATTTTGTAGGAATTCATTGATCACTTACCAGATGCACCCTCCAAGTACAGCCAACCTATTTTGATTTTATAGATCATATCATCTCCAACCTCACCATCCTTATTAATAATCAAACCTTGGTAACGAAAATATTTACTATTTTTATCTTCTGATTTTCAATCTTCACTTCTCCATTATTTATATTTTTAATGCCACTAAAATTACATTTCATATATTTAGTTTTATTTCTACTGATTAAAAACTATTTTGACCCTAGTGCTTCTCTCCATATTTCTAAACAAAGACCTTCTAAGGTGGTTGATTTCATATCAGATCAAATTCAATCCAAGAGAAGGCTATAATTGAGATGTCATTCTTTAATCCTGTTGTTGGTATTTTGAAGGTGTGTCATGAAAGTAGGAATAGTAAGAATTGATTGTCTGGTATCTGTTTTTTGTGAAGAACATAAAATGGGATGCTCACATTGAACTGTTATTTTCACACCATATAATGTCTTGTAGTACATGTCATCGTGTATTGTGTAAGTCTGTTAGTTTCCATCTGACAACTTCATAATTCTTCAAGGCTTAGTATTTCTGGCTCTCAAAAGACAATTTTGTTTTTTTTTGAGTTTTCTAGGCTTCATACCCTGAGTCTTAAATGATGATTAAATAATTTGATTTGCCTTTTTGGATTGCTTAGAGTATCAGGGTGCCCACATGTTGCAGACTGTACATTCTAGGCTCTTAATTCTTTTTATTTATATTTATATTTAAATTCAATTAATTTTGACTTTACATTAAAATTTCTTTAGTTTAGTAACATTTGTTTCTTTCCCTTCTCTGCCTATACATCATTAAGTATTGTTCATGTTCTTGTTCTCTAGTTTCCTATCATAAGTCATAAAATAATTAATGTCAGCTAGATGCTTTGTCTAATAAGCTCTTACTCCTATTTACCCTATAGCTTTCCTTTATTGAATAATTCTAGTCATAACAATGAAACTACATGTTCTATTAATTATAGTAACCTTTTTTCTTGACTTGCTTGCTTTCATTCATCCTTAAGAAGCCTATGAAACTGAAAATAGCGAGATCAGAGAATGAGGTATTCATTACACAACATGAGTTAGTAAGGGATTGGAAAATGTGCACTATAACTTCCCCTTTTTGTTTGCAGGGGATGAGAAGCACCGCCCCCCATCTCTAAATGATGAGGTATGGAGGCTAGATAACATTGGCAGAAGCGGACCTATTGTGAAGCGTCTAAGTAAGGAAAACATCAAAACTGTGCAGGATTTTCTGGAAAAGTTTGTTATGGACCGTCAGGGCCTCCGAGATGTAAGAATTTATTGCTCTTTCATAGTTTATTTACCTTTGACTGCTTGCTTGTTGTATACCCTGCTTATTGCTATTTTGTGGGTCATATTAAATGCAAGGCACTGCCTTCTATAGACTAAATGTTGCTTTTGAAGTTTGAGTTGTTGATACACTTGTTCCAATGCTTTTTAAAGTTTAATTTTGCAAATTCTGTTGATAATTTCATGATCGTGCACTTCCTCTTCATTATAAACACTGAAAAATCAAGTGGCTTATCTGTTGCTCAAGAGAATGGGCTAAGGGACAGTATTTCTCTCATGATCTGTGGATATCTTCATATATATGCTTAATGTGTTTTCTGATTATTACACCCCAAGTTGTATCTGTGTTGAACATCTATCAATGTGGCCATATTTTTACCCTCATATTAAAATGTTATTACGCTGTAATATGCGCCTCTATTCATGGTAAATGCAGACATCTGTGTCTTTGTCTTTGATGTAGTGTTTTGTAGAGAAAATGTCATGCTGATGAAGTTAAGGGGTGAAATCAGCATTAAACTGTCACGACCCATCCACCCCAAACAAAGATAGGGTAGTTACCAACCAGTAGCCATAAACTACCAAAGGCCTAGCTGAACAATTCTATAGTAATCCTGATGAAAGTTGGGGAAAAATTATCGCCAATAGCAGAAGCTTTAAAAAAATTTTAACTGTTTAATCCTACAACATCCATTTAGAGCAAGTGCATGGTAGATGAAATGAAAGGAAATCACTTCTTATTTATTATTACAACATTCTAAACTGGTCATAATGTAGTATAACTTAAAAGAACTGGACATCTCATTTATCAAAAGGTCTTGACAACACATTTCTCTCTCAAGAAGGCAAAACATGCAGATCTGCATGTCATTTTCATGTACATATATATGCACAAAGCTGGCACAAATTTGATTCACCTTTTCCACCTACATACATATAGGGAAGAGGGGTGAGCTAAAGCCCCATAAATAGCATAAAATCAAAGCCATAGAATGTATGGATATCTTCATTTGTATGATAATAGTATAGTTGAACTAAGAGGCTTAATCAACTATAACTAATCAACTTTAGAACACGACAACGTCATATACATTTCATTTTATAGGTTAAACAGACCCACACACATATGGCAATGGAGATCTCAACCACATGCTCCTAGTACATATTTTGTCCCCTAATAGCCAGGACCAACTGAGGATGCACGTGTATATTCTAAACATAGATAACATAGGATATCCATTGATCTCAAGCATTTCAACACAACTATAACAAAATATAGCTTTAGGTTTCAAAATAGAAATTCAAAGCTAACTTTGAAGAACTAAGCTAATTTTGAAGAAACACTACTCACCTGGAGTTCTCGAAAGTAAGCTAGATGTGGGTACTTGTATCAAACCCAATATGCGGCAAGCCCTATGAGTGCCACATCACCAAAACCCCACTCCTGTGGCAGACCAATAAGGCACCACGTGGGCATATCACATGCTTGATACATGGCGAGCCCTACGGGCACTGTGCGCCAAGGCACCATGCAAAACCAAGACTATATACTTAGCTTAAGTGGGAGCATACATACAAGTCCAAATATATCTAAATATGAAGAGCCCTGCAACAGGCAGCACGATGTCCCCGTAGGGCCCATGGTCCTTCATACCTCGCTCCAAGACCAAACAACAATATAATCAGTCCTCGGTTCACTTGGACTTGGACTGATAAACACTGGCTCTCCTAAACATTGAGATAGGCCCGCAGCCCATTCCCCTACTTGGTCGCTTGGAAGGGAGCCCCTGACTCTCCTAAACACTAAGGTGGGCCCTAGCCCATTCACCTACTTGGTTGCCTGGGTTGGGAGCAAGACCCAGGCACTATTGCTCGGGATCATTAGAGGATATTGGACTGGAGGCCAAGGTCATGGGATCGTCGAGATGGTTTTCTTTTTGCTAAGACAACTCCATCTTGACCAGGCTTGGAGAAGAGGCAACAACAATCTTACATTCATATCATCCGATGCATATATAAAATGTTACTTCCCGCCTGCCATGAAATGTTGCTCTCCGCCTGCCGTCAAGCCACAGACAGCAAAAAGGCTTATATCACTTCTGGCAAAGTTAAGGAGAACGAGCCACCTGTTCAATAGTTTGCTTGGGCTCCAATACTCTTGTGGCCTATATAACGTATCGTATATGCAGCAATTAACTTCACTTCACCACAACAATACTCCGTAATTCTAACACACTAAGTCTCACACTTAAACATTCCCACTTACATTCTACAATAGTGTTCAAGGTCTATTACTTCCAACCTCTTCCTCTCCAAGCTTGCCTTGGCCTCCTCCTCTCCACCTCCGGTGATCTCAGTCCATTGAAGTGCCTGCCATCTTCCTAGACTATCTCTAACCACACCTCTCACCCGCACTAGTCCATAAGTTTATTGGCCTACATAACATAAAAAGGACAATGCACATTGGTACGATTCTCAATCAAACAAAATTTAGGGTGACAATCTTAATTGAAGAATTCTTTCTCTCAATCTAAGTTAATTTACATAAAATTGTCTAGCACATTAGACCAATGTAATTAAGCACCTTGATTAAGGATTTGAGAGCACATATTAGCATACTATATTCAAAGGAGAATTTTCTCGATCTTATACCTCTAAACTTCAATTCACTTCATAACAAAGCATACCACAAAGGATTTCAAATATCAAAGAGACTAACTTTACTTAAAGCATTCAAACATAGAACGAAGGCACGCATATTTCATGCAATAACACTGAAGTTGTTACAGAAACAGTAAACCAAATCAAAATTACAGTAAAATTCAAGCTGTTTATATATTTGCATTCAATTAGATAGATGTATTTATATAACCTTGTGATATTTTTGTTGACACTTAAAAACGCTTTCAACACTCCTTTCTGCTGAAGGACAAAGCACGTTGTTTTTCTTCAGCCTATAAAAGTAATCAAATTACTTGTTTGTTGGCACCTATGCAGATCCTTGGCAATGGCATACCTGATATGAAATTGGAAGGCACCTTGCAACATGCTCTTAGCTGTAAACAACTCGACAAGAGGTTTATCTACCCCCCTCCCAGTTCTCAACAAAAAACTCGTGTAGTTTTCGATGCTGTTGGACAAGTAGTGGCAAAAGTCTCTGGATGCCATTGCATTCCTATTGATAACTTGTCTGAAACAGAAAAGGTACAATTTTCTTACCAGTTACCACCTGAAGTTTCTTCTTTCTGTCCATATTTTCTCTTATTTCTAACTTGTTTCGATTGATTATGGTATTAGGCTGATGCCCAGAAATTGGTAGTATCCGCATTTGAACACCGGGGTCAAATAGTCCCTTATGATGATAATTCGCCCCCAAATTTAACCTGGATGGAGAGTCCTAGTAGTCCTAATGTTGGTACACCTCACATGATTGCTGGATATGATTGTACACAGCCAAGTACTTCTCAGGGTATCGTCTCATTGAATAATTCCATTGGAACTTCTCAAACGATTGGTATTGGCGATATGGAGTTGACATATGGAACCTTGGAATTTCGATGTGAGCATTCGCAAGCCACATGCCAAGTTCCAAATGACCAAATGTTGGATTTTATGTCAATGTGTCAAGATATTGGCAAACATTTTAATCAATTTTTGGACGAGTCTCTGGCTGTTGCCATTGATAAAGCCCAAAGAAAATGGTTAAAATTATCTGTGGTGCTGAGATTCTCACTGAGAAAGAGGATTGAGGTTGAGGATTTGGATCACGAACGGAAAAAGCAGAGACTTCATTAGTGGACTGTGCAGGAAGAATGCTTCAATTTACACTCCATATATAAGATTTCTAGGTGCTGCCCGGTAAGGATTGTGAGCAGTTGTAGTGTGTGTCGAATTTTTTTTTTTTTTTTTTGTAGTAGATTTGTATAATATATAGAGTTGATTGTTTATAAATGACTATGATAAATCACAGTTATGTTTTGATTAATTTGTCAGTAAAAGGCAGCGCTCTTGTTTGGATGTAGTTGTTTTATTACCTTTCTAGCTTAAAGCTCCTCGGTTGGTATTTCTTAATTTCTTTATTTTCTCTGTGCTTTATGTCTAGTAAAAGTACTAATTATGCATGCTAAGCATGGACAGAATTTAGCACCGATCTGAACCTTTCGGTTTTGCTGGTTGACGAACCAAAACCGACTACATGTTACAGTTTGGTTTTATCGGTTTTTTAATTTAGTATAAATTAGTGATTCAAAGGAAGAGAGATGGTGGGGGGCAGCTCCGTAAATGTTTCCTTTTCCAATTGCAAAATGTATAGTATTGACCACTTATCTTCTAATGCTCAAAGAGTTATAATACAAAAACTATTTAAATATAATATTTCAGTCGGCTCAATCAGACCAAACCTTATAAATAACTGATCAAAAACCTAAATTTGGTCGGTCTCGGATGGTCAGTTCAATTTCACTTGTTTTTCTTAAAACCCTACTCTAAAGTCTAGAGACATATAGTTCATATGCCAAAACTAACCAAACTCCAGGTCATACAAAAAATACCCTTCAACATTCTGCTCTTTGCATGCCTAGATCACAAAAAACACAAGAAATATTGAACCACATAGAAGCATATTTTTATTTGGGAACCCTAAAAACAATGGGAGACAGAAATATAAAGTAATAGAACTGATAAATTTTTCCCACATTGACAGAAGGCCACAAAGAAACATTTGTTTTGTTTTTGTTCTCATTGCTGTATTAATCATTTATTTATTTTTTCATGCTTATTGGGGTGTGATATGATTGATCTTCTGGTGCAGTGTTTTACAAAACTCCAAGAAGAGGTTAACTTCTTGGGATCCTTGACGTTTTTCCTCAATCAAATTTCACCAGATTAGTTTGTACTATTTTTCAAAAAACAGATTATGAAAACAAAACCAAACAGAGTAATTGGAACCGAAGATGATACATTAATGAACAGATATGGACGCTCAGAATAAAAAGATTATAAATACAATTTGTAATGAACATTTTGATTCTATGATCAAATTCCTTCATAATAAAAGTGGAAAGAGAATGAACTAATATACATTTTTGGGTAAACTATCACTAGATCATAATAGTTGGATTTAATTCTCATAAAGTTTTATTGAAAATAAGTTCTAATATAATCGTCGCTAAAAATAATTTTTTGTGACAATTACAATTATTTTGCTTGTCGCTAAAAATTAATAATTAGTGACTTTTTCTTGTCACGGTTTTTATAAATTGTCGTCAAAACTTATAATTCGTGACGTTTTTGTGTGACGAATTTTTCAAACTGTTGTTGAAAGTTGAAAATTAATGACTTCTTTTGTAACTTTTTTTTAAACTGTCGCTAAAACTTATAATTAGTGTCATTTTTTGTAACAAAATTTTCAAACTATCGTTAAAAATTAACAATTAGTGACGTTTTTAACAATATATAATAAAAAAATGTCATTAATTATCATAAGATTTATTGGACAATAAGTCCACTTAATAGTAAGGTTTACATGTAAATTTACATTTTTCTTTTCCTAACAATGAGGTGGAAATGAGTAATTGTTAAAATATACAGATTATCAATCCTTTTCCAATTGAATCTAATTATAGAAATGAACGCACACTTAGGCTAAGTATGTGTTTAGTTGGAAGATTTGGAAAAAAATTTGGAAAGTGAAAGGAAAAAAATATGTAAAACTAGGTGAAATATAAATATATTTTATTCACATTTCACCTATATTTTCATTTTCTCTTTCCAAATCCTCCAACCAAACGCAACGTAAAAATTATTCATTCTTCACGATGCTTCTTTCGGGACTGACAGCAACTACTAGGAAAGCCTACATCTTGCAAACCTTGCTGTCATTTCATGCTTCACCCTATCAATGACAAAAAACAACAAACACAGAGTCATCATTGGATTTGAGAATCAAAGTCTCATTTCAGTATGTTGTTTTGGTTAGCTTGGAAACGGAAACATTTCGGAAACATTGAAAAAATAATGAAAATGGTTGAAAATATTTGAAAACAAAAACAAAAACAAAAACTTAAATAAATGTTCATTCTTAAAAATTAAATAATTGAACATGCTGAAGTCTATCGATATTATAAGCTCCAAACCACTTAGTTTGGGGGAGAGGTTTGCCATTATAAGAAAAAAAAAAAACATTAAAAAAAATGCAAAATACTGTAGTAGGGATGAAAAGAAATGAGTTTATCATGTTTGTTTAATCTTTTTCTCTTCTTATATCTAGCTTCTAAAATTCTCTAATTTTTTAAATACTTTTCTTTTACTCTCAAAATTTTCTTTTTGACAAAAAGAGAAGAATAAAAATGAGCATTGTTAAATATTCTTAATAGGTATCAAAACAACATCATAGATTTTCAGTGTGTTTTGGTGCATTTCGGTATGTTTTGGCGGGACATTAAAATTTCGGTATTCCACTAATGTTTTGTTGTCTTGGATTAATTGTTAGGTCCCAAACCATCTTTTTTTCCTAATCCAAGAAAAATAGAACCTCACGTTGAACATAATCATAATTAGATTCATGCAACTTTTAATAATTTGATGGGTAATTGAATGGAAAAAGAACATAGACGGTTTGTGTATCCAAACCTTTTTCTTCTGCACCTCCAAAACCTCCTCTAAAGGTGGCCGACCTGTAACCAGAAAGGACATTAGCTAAAAACCGTTGGTGAAGTTAAGGAAACCGGGGGACAACAATAAGAGCAATCTGCATTACATTATCTTGTGATTTTGTAAGGGATATAATGGAAGCGTGCCCCTCAATTAGTGCCCCCTCAAACAGAAGTATCAAATCAGGATGTGAATCATGTAACATATGTATTACATCATGATCACGTATTGTGTGTTGCATCATGTATTGTAGAATACATTTAATTCAAGATACACATTGACAATAGTATTGATTTACCTCTCAAAAGTATTGAATCGTAAGATACATATCGTGAATTGTAAGACACTGACAACATTCAAGTATATCAAAAGGTATATGTTGGAACTTGGAAGACAGAAGAAAAAAGAAATTTCTTCTAATATGACATCATAAGACTTGGCCACATTTCGTAATTAGCCTTTGAGAAATGGAAATTTCAATTTTTTGAGGATAAAAAACTGAGCATATTTAAGTGAAAAGTTAAAGTTATGAGACAATGAGCAACGTTGGACACACCTGTGATTTGAAGACGATATTTGGCCCAAACACCATACAGATCATCAACAATTGTTGAAAACTGTGAATCATGCTTTAAAATTAAGTACCATGCCAAGAACATAATAATAATAATTAGAACATCTCTGGTAACATTAAAAGCTTGTAAGAGGGCTTACCGGTTCATATTTTGTAATGGCATAAACCCATCCTAGGTCAACTGCTTCATATAGTCTTCTAAATGCCTGCAAAATTTCTCATTGGCAAGAGTGTTGTTTTTTGACATGTATTTTAAACAGAAAGGAAACTAAAAATTCCTACTTATATTGCAATTGTCAACTTTGCACTAGCTTCTGTGATCATTTGTTAACCACAAGAATCATTAAGCAGTGTTCTAATGCCTACTTTGTTCACATCTACTAGTGGGTGCTAACACCATATATATGAGACGGAATGAAAAAAACAATTTGATATCTTAGTGAGGTTTGATAGTTTGATGGCGACAGCACTGCACATATTGTCCCCAGCTTTAGTGTGCTGGTGATTTTCATAGACACTGTGTGATACGTGTATGGCTTCAATGTCCAAGTGTTCGAGATTGAACAACTATCAGAGACAATGAAAAGAGTGCACTGATCCGATCTCAGGTAAAACAATATGAGCATACTGCAACAGTGTAGGACACGAGCCTCACATGTTATTTAGTGTCAAAATCATCTACATTGTCCTGTGAAGTTGTTGGCTTAAAAAAGTTCATAATATTGTGCCCTAGTGACTCGTCTCTAGGAATCCATGCATAGCTCGGTTTTGGAGTGGCTGTTGTCAAGTCTGATTATGATGAAATAGGCAATGAGGTGAGGACCTAGCAGTAATTGCCATGAAATTTAAGAAGTGACATTTTTCCCCATCAGAGAATCTCCATCTGCTCTAAGTGGGCGAGCTAGAATCCTTATGTCAGGTTAGCTGTTGACTAACGAGCTTGTGCAGTACTCACCCCTCTCAAAAAGAAGTCCCAATCTAGCAAGGGTAAGAAACCCTCAAGGTGTTACCCTTCTATTGCATTTGAGCATTAGCATTCCCCCATTTGGTATTGAGTTTCAGAAGCAGATTTTTAACTAATAATGAAAGAAAATAATATATAAAGGGAATAAATGAGGGCAAAGTAACATTACTGACAATTTAGAAGGGGCATACCTCAACGTCTGTGACTACAGTTCCATCAGATAAGATGGCATGAATTCTCCCCATAACCTAAACAATAAAAATAATTATACCATAAGATCTTAGTTATGTGCAATATGTAGATGATTAAGTAGATTTGGGGACACAGATTGAAGCTAGGGGCTTCGGGTTAAATTTAATACAAGAAGCCAGTTCGATGAGGTTGGAAACCAGAAATTTGTTTCAGAATGACAGTAACAGATTATATTAATGCCTACTTGCCTCCAATGCTATTGATTGCTAGTGTATATATACATTGTTTCAAACATGTGCAGTCAAGGATTATTTAGTATAGCTAAACACAAACAACAACATAGATCCAAAAAAGCTGATTGACATACTGTTTTGTAGTCAAGGTCTTGATTCCCTTTGGACTGTATTCATCAGAACTTATGTCAACAAACTTGATTGTTCCATATTGCTTATTCCTCTCTCTTAACATGTTGACCTGGCAATATAGTGACACAAATATAAACATTTTCACATTAACCCCATTTTTCAGATATAAATACCCAACACGGTTCTCACACACATACAATAATAACTGGTGATACCTCGCGCATGCAAAGTGGGCATTCACCATCATAAAGCATTTTAATCTTCCAATTTTCAGATGACCTTTCTTCATCTTCCTTCTGGGGAGCAACAGGATCCACAGTTGCCCCCAGTTATCGCCCGAATTGAATATTTAAATACTGAAATAGGAAAGGAAATGTACTCAAAATTGAAATATCACCAACAGCCAACTAACTGGATTGTAATTCTTTGCCCTAGTGATCCATCAAACTTAATTAAAGAAGATTAATACAGTATCAAATAAAATTTAAAAAAAAAAAAAAAAAAAACATATATATATAAAACCAAATACGAAAACCATGAAGCCAATCTACAAATCCCATGAAGCACTTGACCCCCTTGGGGTGACCGAGTATGTGCAACATGATTGCATGAAGTCAGGACTAGTCGGGGAAAAAGCCTGGCTATCATAACAGAACTCAACTTTCACTTGGAAACTATACAACAGACACACATATATATCTATTCTATTTCTATTATGTAAAGCACAATCTAAGAACAATTTTGAAGCTTTGCCACACTTATTTTTTTCAAGAATGCCCATATAGTAAATAATTACTAACAGTTTTAGAATTCAACCCATCTTGTGTAATGGAGATTAAATTAATGAATTTTATAGTCCACAAATTAAATAAATTTGAACCATTAATTATTATTTTTAAATATATTAAATACTTGATAGACTTCATAAATTTAAACCTTATATGAATTTTCAACATATATTTTAATAAAGCAGGACAGTTTTTAAATCTTCAACATATTTTTGTCCCACTACGACATTTGGATGGCTCAAATATGTTCAAATTATAAAATAATGGCTGAGATATATTTTTCAAAAAATGTCATACACGTACATTTTCTACTTTCCTGCTTCTCTCTCTTATTTTTTCCTTTTCTCACCCCATCCTTCATGATCCCATGATCCCACCTTCCTCCATCTTTTCTTTTTATTTTTTTTTTATTTTCTCCTTTTTGTTCACTTATTTTTATTCATATTATATGGAAAAGTCTGCGATACTAGAATTAGAAACCAGATTTTACTATGTGTAATGGAGATTAAATTAATGAATTTTATAGTCCACAAATTAAATAAATTTGAACCATTAATTATTATTTTTAAATATATTAAATACTTGATAGACTTCATAAATTTAAACCTTATATGAATTTTCAACATATATTTTAATAAAGCAGGACAGTTTTTAAATCTTCAACATATTTTTCTCTTATTAGGACATTTTGATAGTTCAGATCTATTCAAATTATAAAACAATAGCTAAGATATATTTTTAAAAAAATATCCTACATGGACATTTTTCACTTTCCCTCTTCTCTCTCTTACTTTTTTTCTTTTCTTACCTATCCTTCCATGATCTCACCTTCCTCCCTCTTTCCGTTTTATTTTTTTATTTTCTCTCATTTTTATTTTTCTCTTTAGTTTTAATTTTTTAATTTTCTCTTTTTTGTTCAATATATTTTGCATATATTTCTATACAATGTATGTATGCCTGTAATACAATAAGCAAAAGCATTATTGTATGTATGCCCGTAAAAATTATATGTATGTCAGGCACATCTATCTATCTAGCTATATATTGTATAAGCAAAATCGAGTTTTGTGAGAATTCTAAAATTTTATAATAAATTTGTGAATTTATCAAATTAAAAAATAAATTTAAATAGTATTTGGATTACAATTATATTCTAATCCTAACATCATTTATATCGTGCCTTCAGACATGAATATAAGCTAGTATATATATATTTAGTAAGAGTGTTAAGTATAAGCAACATTGCTCATAAAACTGGTAGTTTAGCAAGTTGGGTGATGGCAACGGGTCGGAGCAGGGCAGGGATCACCCTCCCCATACCCGATCTCCGATGGTGAAAATTCTCCCGTCCCCGGTCTCGATCCCCAACGAGAAACCTATCACCGCCCCCATCCCTGGCCCCTACCCCTGACAGGGATCGGGTTTCCTGACCCCGAAAATTCCCTGTCCTAAAAAAAAAAAAAAAGTCGACCCTTATCATTCTGAAAAAAAGAGAGTGGAAATCAAATAATCAATCACTTGTAGACCCTTGAACAACCAAAGCAACTACAATGGCAAACAATCTCACCACAGAACAAACCAGTTGCAGAGCCAACCCCATTTTCCATGTACTATCAAAAATCAATACTCCCTCAAACCCAACCTACTCAATGATGAAGAAAGAATAAAACAACAATAAAAAAATGAAATCTTTTAATTGAATAAAATAATGAACAGTGATAATAGGATATCAACAACAAAAAGAAAAACAAAAACAAAAAAACAAATCTATAGAAGAGAAAGTTTGAACTGGATTGATTATGTGTGGATCTATAAATATTTTATGTATTTATACAAAGAGATCTTCAAATTTCAACGTAGATCCAAAGATGAAAGCCATAAAGGAGACCTTACAATCAACAACGAGCAAAGGCGAGACCGCACCCACGGATGCGACATGGATGGGCGTTGGTGCTTCGCCTCAGATCCGCACTGGTCTCACTATTTCGCATCGGTGAAACCCGATTTTGGATCTATGTTGGTCTGTGATGGTGGCTTCGGCGAAGGTGTGATTTGGCGATTAGAAGCAAACCAATTTCATTTTAGGAAAGAATGAGGGAGATCGGCGTGATAGGAGGGTTTTAGAGAGAGAGAAAAATCGAGAGAGAGACAGTGAGGCTTTGAGGTTGTGTTATGTAACTTATGAGGGTTTATATATATATATATATATATAGGGCATAATAGCAATTTCATTTCAGGGAAACGGGGACGGGGACGAGAACAAGCCCGGGTCGGGGTTGGGGAATGTATCACCATCCCTGGCCCGAACATTATCGGGGATACATTTTTGAATACTATCCACAGCCCGTCGGGGGTATTTTTCGGGAAAAAACCATTCTAATCAGGATTGGGGGGCCGGGTCCCCGTCGAGCCGCATTTAAATTGACATCCCTAGTTAGGATTAAAATAGTCAACAATTTAAAATATTCACTTAGATCATTTTGTCTATTTTTTATACGTCTTTTCGTAAAAAATTTAAAAATCAATTAAAATAGCATATTCTTATACACCTTCTAAGAGCATCTTCAATTACTTACATTTTCTTTCATCAAATTTAAATTTGATAAGAAAGTGTTAAAAAAATAATCTCCAACGCTTTCATCAAATGTTCATCAAATTAAGGAAAAGTCATTGTTTTATCTGTTATATAGGAAAGCAACCTAAAAGGGGGGATGAATTGAGTAATAAAAAATCCAGCTAGAAAATAGATTTCAAGGACTAAGAGATTAAATGCAGCAGATAATAATAAGTACACAGAAAATAAAGGAAAGGAAAGAAGAGCTTAACACAAGGATTTATAGTGGTTCGGTTCACAGGCCTACATCCGCTCCTTAAGAGACTTCTTTGAGAATTTCTTCACTAAGAATCAATGCACCACCAAGCTTCTCCTAGCTTGTGGATTTTTACAAAGGACTTACTTTAATCTGATGAGGACCTCTCAACTAAATGCCTCACTTTACAAGTGTTTCACTCATAAAATAAGGAACAATAACAAGAGGTACAACTGTCCTCTTTAACAAATATTCTATCTCAAAAGATGGATATGAAAGTGTAAGCTCACAGGTAATTTAAGACTCACTCAAATATGAAAATAGAAATACAATTGAGTGTATTAAAGGCTATTGATTGCTCTTGAATGCTCTAGATTTGTTGTATTGAATGAATAATGAAAGCTTCATCTTTATAACATTAACGGCTTCTAGTTATTGGTGAGAGAAGATTTGAATCTCCTAGCCATTGGAGCAAATCAAGGAGAATGTCTTCCAACTGTGTTTGGTCAGAGTATGAAGAAAGCAGACTATATGTATGTCTTGGGAAGAGAAGGATCATTAAAGGCACAAACTTTTCATTTGATGCTCAACTTTATAAGTCAACTTCTTAGAGAAGATGTGGTGCAGAAGATTTGCTCAGAGGTCAGAAATGATGACATATTCTGTACACAAATCTGAAAAAGTGGCTGAGAAAAGGTTTGTGGCTGAAAAGAGGTTTCTGACAGTCCAGATTTGATTTGGTAGCTGGATTTTTCAAACCCAGATTTCGCAGGTGTTGATCCCTGCAACTTGGGCGTTGACCCTTTGCTTTTCTCTATTCTCTGCGTTGAGTTTCAAATGTTCCTAGTGTCGACCCTTATCATTCTTGGTGTCAACCATTGCTGCTGGATTGCATTTTGAAATTTAGGCCTTGTTTGGGGTATATTAATAAGTACACATTTTTTATCTTTTTATCTTTTTTCCATCACATCATCTCTCTATTTTTCTACACATCTTTTCGTAAAAAATTAAAAAGTACACTTATTTAGATCATTCCAAACAACCCCTTAGTGTCGACCCTTGTGGTTCTTGGTGTCGACCTTGCTGCTAGATTGTCTTCTAAAATTTAGTGTCAACCCTTGCTGCTGGATTGCATTCTTAAATTTAGTGTCGACCCTTGCAGTTGGAACACTTAGGCATTTTAAGCTTCACTTTGGTATCGACATTTGCTATCTTAGCGTCAACCCTTAGACCTGTTTTAAGCATGGATAGAGTTTTGCAACCAAGTGCTAATCTCATGTTTTGAGGTGTTAAAAATCATTGGAAAACAACATTCTAGAGCCATGTAACTTTTAGAAGCATTGAAGCATAATTTGTATACAATTATTTTGAGAACTTTGAATAACAAACTAAATTCAAATATTTGTCAATAATCAAAATCAATAAAAATTTAACTTTGAATAACCTTGGGGCTAACATTATCAAATTGAGAACTCATCAAATTTGATTTTGATGAAAATTTTAAAAGACGAAGCATTGGAGATATTTTTTTTTCATTAAATTTGATAAAATGTGAAATTTGATATGAGAATGTAATTTTTTAAAAGATTTTTATGAAAATTTGATAAAAGAATCAAATTAAAATTTTACTTAAATTTAAAATTAAATTAGATAAAAAAATTTAATGAATAATTAGAGATGATATCAAGGTGCATATATAGTCTATACAAGTAAAATCATAATTTCCACTTTCACCAAAATAAGGACTATTTAAATCATCTCCAATTGTATATCAAACATATCACTAAATTTGAATTTGATGAAAAATGGTTCATTTTTCAGCTCCAACGGTTTCATCAAATTGGTATCAAATTGAGGATTTCATTTTTCTTTCATCAAACTGAGAATCGATGTGCCTTTCATCAAATCACTATTCATTGCCGTTAGATTTTTACCACCGAATGTTCTCCCGGATGTCCTCCCGGATGATCACCTCAACGTAAAAGTTTGTGAAAAAATTATACTAGTTGGTCAACCGCACGGTCGTCCTCTCAGTTGACCTCCCAGATACCACCTCAATAAGAAAAATTATGAAAAATTTGCATTGGCCGATCGACCAGTGGTTTAACGAAACCACAAAACTCTCAATCGAAGCACTTGATATCAAAGAGAGCGTTTCTTTAAATTTTTACTCAAATTTAATGAAAAAATTGATACATCATTGGATATGCTCTTCCACATTCATATTTTGTACTTATTGGTGGTTTGTCCACTATTTTATAACTCTCTTTAATTTGTATAATATTTTTCACTCACTTGCAACTCCTAATATAGAAATGATACATTCCTCTAATTTAGGAGCTATAAAAGAGCACTAATGATGTGAAAAATTAAAAAAATAATAATAATAAAATAAACCAAGACCAAATATCACATCACATGAGACTCACACACCAATTAAAACTTAAAACTCTTAATTTAAAACTCTCAATCTTTTTTCATCCTAATATTAGATTCAAGAAAATTATTTACATAATACATATTTATTGTTGAGAGGTTTAAATAGGCAGTTTTATATAATTGAGAGGTGAATTGATAATTCAGTAATAAAATTTCTTAAACAGTTTGAGGTATATTATGACCTTGTATTTATAATTCAAACCGTTCATTTTGTAGGATTTGTTAAATACTTCATGCTTATCAAAAATCATATTAATCAAATATCAACAATTGTATAATCGAATTGCATATTATTTATGCTATTGTTTATTTATTTTTTTAGCTAACGATTATATAATTATTAATATCTGATTAATATGATTTTTGTTAAGTATGTAATACTTAACAAATCCTATACAAAATTAAAGGTCATAGGGGGTGTTTGGTGAGACTTTTTTGAGTCAGCTTATGGCTTCTGGCTTTTAAAAAGTTATTTTGGACTGTTTGATTAAACTTATTTCAAACAGCTTCTGATTCTAACAACTTATTTTAAGTCAAAAAAGCTAATTCTGAGAAGCTACTCACCCCTTGCTTCTGATTATCAATTTCTGCTGTGGACATGTTAATTCACAGTTATATTCTTAGTTTTTTTTATTTTTTATTTTTTTAAAAAAAGAAAAGACCCAAATGGACTGTAAAATATTGTTATTATTTTTTATAAAAAATGTAAACAAATAGTGAATAATAAAAAATAAAAATTAATTGAAAAAGTTACTTTACAACTTATTTAACAAACACTACACAACAACTTAAACCTATAATTCAACAGCTATACCAAACAGATTAACAATTTCTAATTAAAATTATAATCTATAATATATTAATATATAATTTTAACAGCTATACCAAACATCACCATAATACATCTAAGTAGAGTCATCACAGTCATTATTGTGATAAAAGAAGGGATATGGGGTGTCTAGGCAATTAACCATTTCCCAGATCAGTGCCATTATTGGGTAGCTTTCATATCTGCTCCCCCCTCTCTCTCTCTCTCTCTCAACTCAATAATGGCGTTTCTTCTCAACAAAACCACTCTTCTCTCTCATCTACGCTCTCATTCTCAGGTATTCCTTCTCTCTCTCTCTCTCCATGAAGTGTGAGTAGTTTCTCTTTTTCCTTAAATATTTCGAAAGGGTAACTCTTCTATTCTAAAAATTTATTTTCTTTTTGGGAAAACTAAGTTTATGGAATGCTTGTTTGCTCATTAATATTCCATGCTTTGAACCTTCGTAGTATCTTCAGTTTTCTATTTTGTTACTGGGTGACCTTAGCTGAAGAGCCCGTGTGAGCCGTGGTTAGGCGTTGGAGGGCAAATTGTAGGCAGAAAGGGAAAAGTAAAAAATGGAAAATAAAAATATACTATGTTGAACGAGGCTTAGTCTCAAGGTGGGAGTACATGTGATGAAAACAAACATTGCCTAAAAATAGTTTTTGCCATAGAAAAGAATTTTAGAATAAAAGGAGAGCAACCCGAGTAGAAATATTAAGGAAATATTGTCCATATAAGAATTTCAAAAAATCAAAAATTTGTATGCCTTTAGACGTAGACCTTAGAAATAAAAATTAAATTTCAAAAAATCAAAAAAGTATATACCCTTAGACGTAGACCTTAGGAATAAAATTAAAATTAGTACTGAACTAATACAAGAATTAGAAGATCAAAAATTTAGATACCAGTTTCTTTTATCATTAGCTTCTAACAGATCTCTAGAAAATTACAGTTTAAAAATTTCTCAGATAAATAGACAGCTAACTATAAAACAAGAAGCCTTAAAGTTAGCCATACAACAGCTTGAAGATCTTTTAGCATAACTGTAGAATTAATTAGATAATTCTCAGCCCAATTCTAAATAGTGGTAGACCACTAACTCAACCCACAAAAATTGGTATCAGAGCAGTGTTCGGTTTTAGGACAATTTAAGTTAGTTTATGCATTTTGCTTATGGTAATAGAGTAGTTTTTATTTTTGGAGATTTTAGTTATAAATTTCATATTATAGTAGCCTGTAATAATTTTAAAGTAGGAGTTAATTTTGTGTATGAAAAAAGTAGAGTATCTAGATTTAGAACTCAGCAGCCATAACCGTCGCCTTAGCATAAATAAAAATAATTTCCGTTGTAATTTTGAAGAGACTTTTACACATCAGCTTCACAGTGAACATAATCCTCAGCTAAATAGTATCATAGATTATCAGATTAATTTTGCAGAAAATATTAAAAAGGACATAGATAAAATTAGTAATTTTTTTATTTCTTCTATAGATCATCTTCGTAATAATCGTAGTATAATTAAAGATCAAGATAAAAAAATCAGATTATATCCAAGATCAGTGTAGTTCTATCCTACAAAAAAGAATAGATTTAAATTTAGAAAATTTCCTACTAAGCTAGAAATAAAAACATTAATTTCAGCTACAAATCAAATAGTTAAACAAATAGAACAAATTAATCAAATTCAAGATAATTTAAAACAAAAATTAGAAATTTTAGAACAACTTGTAAGGTCTTAGTTTATGAGTAGTGATAAGAAAGCTAATAGAGATTACCAGACTATTTTAAAACAAGCAGAAGATTTTCATAATAACCCGGAAGGAATTAGTAGTTATCAAGGAATAAATCAATCAGATAAAATATCAAAATAATATAGAAATTTTATTTTTAATTCGATTGTGTGAAAAATTTGAATACCTATCAGAACAACTACATAGCTTAGAAAATCGTCTAGCGTCTTTAGAAAAAATAGTACTTCAGAAAAGAAAAGGAATAGAAGGACAATCCAACAAACCTCAATCTCAAGTAAATGAGGAAGATATAGCTAGATATTTTGAAAAGCTTAAATTACCTAGGAAACCAGCGTGTAAAATTTACAGAAAATAAAAATGTTTAAACAGCTAATAAAAGGAAGTAGTAGTAAAAAGCGTAATGAAGATGAAGATGTTAAAGTAGAAGAATTTATAGATGTAGAACAGCAGATAGAAAAATTTTAAAAAGAAAAGTTAGAGTTAATTCCAGCTAAATATGTGTATAAGGTAGGTAAGATTCATAAAAAACAATATTTATTTAAACACTTTGGTGAACAAATGATTAGTGTGACTCAAGAAGATGAGAAAATAGAGTTAAATTTAATAGAAAGAGAAAGCTATAAATATGCAGTGAATGAACACCTTAAAATGACTCATTTAGGATTAGTAGTGGTAGGAGTTAAGCCTTTAACCAGAGAAAATTTATGAACTAAAGTGTTTGTATGTCTCTATGATGATAGGTTTAATGATGTCGGACAGAGTATTTTAGGTAGTTATGAACTAGATATGAATTCAAAAGGAGGAATAGTTTATTTTACACCAGATTTTTTACTACCAACATCGACCTTTCATAAAAAGATAAAAATCGGAATAAAGAGTAGAGGATATAAAATGAAAAAGGGAGAAAAGAATTTATTAGTTTGCACAAGATTTTTAGGTTTAGCAGTCTCAGAAAGCAATACTCACTATAGACTTACTAATGATCAGATAGTTAAATTATTAGGCGCAAAAGGAATAAAAGCATTACCAGCTAAAAAATTTAATTCTGAAGATAATGCAGCACTAGATTGGAAACTAGGAGACTTTCTAGGACAAAAGAGACTAGCCCCTCTAGATAATTTATTATACCAAACAGCAGATGGAAATTATGCAGTAAGATTTACTCAGTACACTTATGTAGCACCAGAAAAATCTGAAGATGATGAATTGTTAAGTAGGAAGATTTATTTAGAAAAAGAAAATAACCAGTTTAAATAAAAGCTATAAGTTTCATGGAAAGCGTAGACAACTAGATATGAGTATACAATTACAGCCAGTCCATAATCAAGGAACCCTTTTAGATTTAGCTAGATTCGACCCTCAGATATGGCAGGAAGTAATAGAAAGATGGGAAAAAGATGCAGTAAAAGCATGGATGACTAGTCCCTATGAATCAACGGATATGTGGGAATATATGGAGACACTTCTAGGAGATTCAGCTTATAATATTTATTTAACTTTCAAGGGGAAATATGAGGAAACAATTAAACAGCTCAAAGAATTAGGAAATAACCCGTGGAATTTTACAAATTTTATTAAAGAAATACTTATAGGATATGATCCTTCTAGAGGAAATGATTCCGCTCAAAGCGTAGCATTAACTGAGTTAGACCAAATAACATTAGGAAGTTGAAAATATATTGTTCCTTTTAGTAAAGAATACTTAGCCATAGTAGCAAGAACCAGAAAAAGTTTTGATGAAGAAATAGGAAATAAATATTTTAGAAAACTACCAGGAGAATTAGGAAGAGAGATAGAAAACAAATAGTCAATTTATTATGTTAGTTTACCAGCAAAAATAGCCACATGAGAGTTAAGAATAAGAGGAACTTTAGGAATAGGACCTAGAATAGTTTTTACATTTTATAAGCTCAGAGAAAAATGTATAGAAGTTAAAATACATAAAGACTTGAAAAAACAAAATTACGGCTTTTGTAGCAGTGTAATATATACTCCTCAGCAATATAAAGATGAATATAATAGGAAAAAATACAAAAAATATGAAAAATATAGAAAAGAAAAATATTGGAAGAAAAAATATAGAAAACCATGGAAAAAACAAAAATTCATTAGAAAAAGTAGAACTTTTAATAGAACAAATTATAAGAAATTACCCAAAGAAGAAAAAGATAAAAGAAAACAAAGATATGTTAGAAAACCCAACATAAAAAATGCAATTGTTTTATATGTGGAGAACCCAATCATTTTGCAAAAAACTGCCCAAAAAGACAAAGACCAAATACTAATAAACAGATAGAAAAACTACATATTATAGAAGACTTAGAAGAAGATATAGTTAGCATAACTAGTGATGATTCAGAAGTATATAGTATAGTCAGCGATTATGAATATCAAATAGAAGCCATAAGTTCAGATAGTGATTCAGAAAGTGATACTAATATAGATAATCTTCTAGGACAACTCAACCAAGAAATAAGACTAACACCTTCCCAAGATACTTTCTTTATGATGGAATGTAATGCAGATACTGAATGTCAGCATAACTTTCAAATAGGATCAGGATTTGATACCACTAGATGCAGCTATTGTAATTGGTTTCCAGCTAAAGATAAACGAGCTCAATGTTTATTATGCAGTATAACCTATTGTATAGTCTGTCTAGAAAAATTAAATATGACACATAAGATAGCATTAGGAAATACTAAAGAAGATCATAGTCTAGAAAACAGAGAATTACATTTAACAATTAGAGAACTAGAACTACAAGTAAGAGAACTTAAGATACAAATACACGAGATAGAAACTAAGACTAGTTTTGACATAGAATGTTTAGAATTAGAGAATAGATAGCTTAAACAGCAGCTAGAACAATTTCACAATAAGTACCCTTTAAAAGACAAACTGATTGAAGAACATATGAATTCATTAGAACTAGTCAACCTAGTTGATTCTCAACTCTTTAGTCAATACTCTAAAGCCCAACCAGATACTACATCTTTACCATTCAATTATCCAGTTATACCTAAACCAAATCTAGTTGAGATCTCTTGTGTAATCAAGTTTGCAGCAAAAACCCTTAGTATAGATGCCATGATAGATACAGGAGCTAGTAAATCATATATTGAACAACAAGTAGTTCCCCCAGGATGGAGCACAACTTTAACAACCCCAGCCTTAGTTAGTATAGCCGACGGCACTAAACAGATATACACGCATTGCATCAATGGAGCACAGATTAGTTTTCATCATCTAGGTTCTCAAGATCAGCATATAGATTGGTTTCCTTTACCTCAGGTTTGGATTAGAAATACCCGACAGAATCATCCTTTCATCTTAGGACTTAATTTCATCCTTAGCTTACAAGGTGGCATGTTACTCAATCAACACAACATTAGTTTCTTCAAGCGAACGGTCCATACCCCAACAGCTTATGCCCTTAGCGCCATCGCCCATTCCTCAGAGTTGCGTGCGAAGCGTGGTGGTACCATAGAAGTAGATTCAGTTCCCGCTAGTTTTTTATTTCCAAGAAGAAATATTTTTCCC